CAGTGGCATGAGTGACCCACTTTGGTTGCGAGAATTCACACGTCTTAACAAGGTAGTACTTAGAAGCTCAGCTGAAAACCATTCAATGCCACCTCTAAGCCTAATGTGCCGATTTAATCATCTGTGAAGTGTGATATTTACGGTGAAAATGTTGATCTGGTACTAATACGTGTAAAGATTTTTGTAAATATAAGCGTTATAAATGTTATCTGTAGTTATGTTGAAATGTGCCAAACGGTTCATTTAATCCTTCAATATGTATCTGTAATCATATTCATCGTACTCGCGTACTAAGGCTTTTGATCTACAAAAATGACCTTTTAGCGGTGTCTTTGGCGTGCCGTCATGGACTGCATAGTAGCGGCATCTACTGGTGCCTTAAAAGGTGATTTATACTACCGGAATGGTTCAGTTCTCGACCTCAAATGTTTTCTTTAGGTATAAATTTGCGCGACAATTCGTTCACAAACTTGCTGCCGATTAAAACGTTAGTTCCAAAACAGGATGAAATTACCAGTATGATTTGGTCCGGCTCAGGACAGGTACGTCCTTCATCCTTATTTTCCTGTCGAATGTGATGAGTATGGTGTGGGAGTCATAGAGGTATTAGGAGTGGAGGGAGGGGGAGGGGGAAGTTCCGGTGGGGTAGATTCCCCCTGACACCTCGGTGGCACAAAAGAATATGAAATTTACAACAATGCCGATGTTCTACGGTCAGAGAAGCGGAGACTTTTTCATGCAAATTTTCTCAATTTTCAGTCAGAAGTACTGGCGGCGTTACTGGACAGGCAGCTGAAGTTGTACGATGCCAGTACGAGTACATTCAACTCGCTGTACAGAATTGATGGGGGCGAAGGAGCTGTCCAAGGACTTCATTCGATTGAAGGGTACTACTATGTTTTGCGACATAATTAGACCGATTCGTTGAAAAAATTGTCTAATTGAAGGGGTAAAAAAGTTGTCTCCTGTGTGGAATCTGGTCATCTCAACGTATGGGACGAATCCGGAGAAAGTACCGCCGATTGGGAGGCTGGTCCTGGTGTCAAAGTGATGAGAGGTACGCGGCTTTCAGGTCTTCATAAGGTCTTTTCCTTCTTTTTTTAATGAACTTGTGAACAGATTCAACAGAGTATAGTTTTTTAGGATGCAATACTAGGAAGGAAGTTGTCACTGGAGGACTGAAAAATCTCATGAAAACCTGGGATATAGAAACTGGAAAAAGTGTGTGGTCTGCGCGGAATGTGGGGAACATTTTTTTGCTGGCTTTTGGCCGTAAGCGTAAAAGTATTTTTGTGAACTTCAAGGTTCCGCTGGATTTCCTTGGACTAGAGGTGCCTATAGCCTGCACCGACGCTCGATATATCGATGACTCTGGTACTATTATAGAAGCTACAAAAGTTCATGAGGTAGGGTTACGGTCTTTCTTATGTTCAAAACTATGTTTTCCTACCTAAAATACGACGAATCATGGGATTTATCTATTCAGCTTCGCCTTTACGATCCTCGTGCTCAACGTCGTCCAGTGAAAAAGATTCCTTTCATGGATGTACCAATAACTGCAGTCAGTAGATGCTACAAGGATAATCATGTTCTGGCTGCTAACTCCATCGGCGAGATGGGTCTGTTTGATCTACGCAGCAAAGGTGAGTGGATGAATAATATGAATTTTTGAGCAATTAAGAAAGTCATGAGGTAAAGAAACTGATAAGTACACTAGAGAAGTAGGCCGGCCGTCAGGGGCCGCACCTAGAATGCTTGGTCCAACAAGGCTTTGAGATGGCGCACAGCACCGGATTGTGCCGCTCCTCTAAAAAATGGTCTGCATTTATTTCTTTCAGTTCATCCCGTTTGTAAATACAAAGGACAGGCAGGAGCAATTCGTTCTATTGATGCTCATCCAAGTGCCCCTTACGTCGCGACATGTGGTATAGATCGTTTCGTCCGTGTGCATGATATCGATACGAGGAAGCTTGCACACAAGGTTCACTATAAAGTTTTAGCCGGCCCGCGGCTGCGACTGACCGCCCTTGACCGCTACTCGTTGGAGTGCTGCAGGGTTCGAAATAGGTTTTATCCTGACTGTGATTTGATTAGGAGTTGAGTGGTCCAACGATCAGCTGGATGCGAGCCGCCGGTCAGTCGCCGGCGATATTGAATCGCCCTGGAGTCGCGAAGTATGAACGGTATTACAGATCTATGTAAACTCGTGCGTCGCAATAGATTGTACTTATTCCGATCATGCAACTAGCGCAGTTAAACAACGTAGTGGAAGGCAATTGTATTGAGGCGAGCTCGTGGATGGAATTGAAGGTATGTTGCACTTGCTACTTATTTGCTTATTTGTGTACTCAAGAGCTATTAAGAGTTTTCCAGAAGGAGATCAACTGCGACAGCGATTCTGCTTCCGCAAGTGGCTCAGATGATGACGAGTCGGTAGATGAGTGCAATTGGGAGAAACTAGGTGTAAGCGATGACGATGATCCGATGAACAATGGAACCTTAAGAAAGCGACGCGACGAAGAAGCTGCCTCCATCGAAAATGTGAGCGCCCCTATCGCAGGTATTGCGGTTTTTCGCAGGGATTACTGTATTTCGAAGAAACTATGGGTATGGGGAGAGAAGACGTTATCAGCGTCATTGGTGGTAGGGAGTTTTGCCATTTTCTCCAGTGCAGGAGGTATACCAAAACTTCTTTCCACCAATGGCGGTGACGACGTTTTTCTGCCCTGAACCTATTGCTGGAAGTGCATTCATTGCAGGAAAGCTGCGGTGATGAGCCTGCCTCCAAAAAGAGAAGAGTGACCAAGTCGAAGAAACGAAGAGAGGAACCGGAAGCGGCAAGAGGTAAAAAGATACCTTCTTATTTGATATCTGAGTCACTGTAAACCCAGTACGTAATTAAGGAGCCTGCCGAACCATGCAAAAAAGCCAGGATCGCCAAAGGAGTTAAACGACACGACGAGATCAAAGAAGAGGTAAAATCATGATTATATGAGTCAAGCCCTTTTGTGATCTGAAAATTTCGAGATAATTAGGCACTTTTACGATTGCAAAGCATGCATAGTGCGCTTCAAATACGATTGTGGGTGTATAAATGGACCTACAGGAGAGCAAAGGGACTCGTCAGAAGCGCCCAACTCACAACCCTTCTTCTGGGACTTCGCGCTAAAAGACGACACTTTTTAGCTGCTCACAACCCCATGTTACCTACTTCTGGAGCGGTTGGACTCCTCCCGTAAGAGAAATGTGCATTCAAAAGAGCTTGATCTGAAACGTCCAAATATCACTATAACCATAAGTAGATGCAAAAATTCAATACAAGCCCTTCAGGTGGATTCAGACGAAGAGCCTCGGAAACGCAAAAGGGTTCCAAGGCCAGTGGTGTGTGCTTCGTGATCGATAAGTCAGTCGTTATTGTTCTTTTGGTGAGTAATCTTTGCCGTTTCACTATCCCTGTTTCTCTATGGCTTTCCTTTCCTATCGTCCATTTCATCTCCTTAGAATTTTCCTCTCCTCATTTTTCATTTTGGTTCATTTTGGAGAGAGGGGAGGGGCAGTTGGAGACTATGCCACACAATGCACTGTTTATGTGCCCCCTCTTAGCCGATGTCCTTTGAAAGGGTCCACGGAGAGCACATTGTTTCTATAAAGAGTGAGTGCCTCCCGACGTTGTTTGACCCCATTTGCCGTAAACATGTATACCCAAAGATATTGGTTCAGCGCGCGCTAACAGAACCCATTTAATTGACATCTACTACTAAGAGGCTGAGCTGGTGCAGTGGTAAGAGTGACATGCTTATCTCGCGCGGTCCGAGGTCCAAACCCCGTGTTGGGTTCTTCCCTGGCCAACCGAGCCCTCTTTTCTTTGAGGACGGTGAGATGGTACGAAATTGCTGGG